AAGATATTATAAGATGAAGAATCTACCAGCTAACAGTGACCCTTACTGCAATCTACCCCCACACCAGAAGAAATCATTCATGGAGATATATGAAGAATATGCGAAGCAGAATGTAGAAGATGACGTGAAGGAAATGTATAAAGAAGAGAAATTAAGAAGATGGCAGAGGGCTTGTATAAGGATACTAAAGGAGACAGAAGATAGAGAAATTGTATGGATATTCGACAAGGATGGAGGAGCAGGAAAGACATACCTATGCAAACATTTAAATGCAGTAGAGGGAGCAGCAATATTTCAGAATGGAAATTCAAAAGACATCAGCTATGCATATAATGGCGAAAGTATTGTATGTTTCAACTATACCAAAGAAGATGAGAAGTTTGTGAATTATGCTATCCTAGAAAACCTGAAAGATGGATATCTATTCTCCGCCAAGTATGACAGCAAGACAAAACATTTCAAAAGTCCAAAGGTGGTATGTATGGCTAACTTTATGCCCGATGAAACTAAAATGTCAGCAGACCGCTATTGGAATTTCCAGTTAATGAAAAAAGAAGACGAATACAAAATGATCATATGTTAAATAAATTTATTGTTAATAATAAAATGAATGTTCAAGCCTCTCATTTTTTATAAATCAATAATGGCAGCTGGACCCTTGATCTTCAGGAAAAAACCGTTAAATACTCCATGGCAGCTGGACCCTAACACAGATCGCCTCCGCCCTCTGGTACTCCGGCTCGTGGTGTGGCCCCTCGTCTGGCAGCTAATTCACTGTATCGTACCCCTCTAAAACTTCAAAACCTTCAGGAGTAGCAGCAGAATACAGATCATCCTTGACAGTATAGATCTGACCATCTCTACGTCCTTTCCATGAGAGTCCAACACTGTAGTACCCTTCAACAAAGGTATTAGGAGAACCTTTCAAAGTATATATAATCCCATTCATTGATGAAGCTGGAGAAGCACCATACGTAAAATAGGCAGCATCAATCCAAGGAGAAAGAGATTTTACCACCAATAGCTACAGATTTAGCAGCAGAAAGCCTAGGCTGGAACTTGGGGTACATCCTGAGCTTGTACTTCTTTCCATAACGAATTAAACGTTCACGTGTATTCGGGCAACAATTGTGATTGTCTATAGACGTAGTACGACCTTGAGCATCTGGATCGTAAGTTGTTGTCATCGTAGGTTGTTCATAAGTTAAAGAATTAGAACCATTATTTCTCAACCAATAAACCAGAGTAACGTGACGAATCTTAACTTCGTCAAAAAGATTCAGGTAAGAAGAAGTCTGACTCTTAATGGATCCAGTCAGGAAAGTGTGCCAATTCCAACAGAGATTAGATGTATAAACTCCTTTGGCTCCCAAATTAAACTCATGCGAAGCCTTGTGTTCAGAATGAACAATTCCTTTGTATATTCTCTTCATGATGTTACCTCTTCGCCTGTAAGTCCTTCTTCGAACTGGAGCACGTCTCCTTCTATAAAAATTCCTACGACGTCTATTAAAGAACCTCTTCTTAGCATAAAAACGCCTTCGGTTAAAAACACGTCTTCTACCGTAGAATGCCATCTTTAATGTCACTTTAAATTGCAACTGACGTTACTAAGGAACATGACGTCAAAACGTCAATGACGTCATAAGGGACCCAAAATGACGTCAAAAATATCGACGTTTGCTAGCGCCGCGTGTTAAAGCAATACTAGAACACGCGGCGCTGAAAAAAGGTCGACATGGCAAAAATGACTAAAACACGATGCGAAAAGTGTGAATGCGACGTTTCAGCCAACCAATGGGCAAGACATTGTAAGACTAAAAAGCATTTGGGCAGTGGAAAGAAAGAAAAAGTAGAAAAAGCAGGTCAGAACTTCTTTGTGACGATTTGAAGAGCTGCAAAGTATGGAATACAGAAGAAATGGTTAAATTGGAAGTTTGCAGGAAAACTGGTGGCTGGCAATGAATGGGGGCTCAGTGGAAGGACAGGACATTGCCATGCCTACATACAAACTACAGAGAAGATGAGATTCAAGCAATTATGGACTTCACAGGGATTCCCGAAGTACAACGACATACAGAGTGTAAAAAGTATACACAACACTGTTAGATACATCACGTAAGAGGACCATAAGGCGATATTAGACCACATTGACATGGATTTGGTAAGCCTTCCATGTAAGGCTTGGGTAACTGCTCAAAGATATTATAAGAAGAATCTACCAGCTAACAGTTACCCTTACTGCAATCTACCCCCACACCAGAAGAAATCATTCATGGAGATATATGAAGAATATGCGAAGCAGAATGTAGAAGATGACGTGAAGGAAATGTATAAAGAAGAGAAATTAAGAAGATGGCAGAGGGCTTGTATAAGGATACTAAAGGAGACAGAAGATAGAGAAATTGTATGGATATTCGACAAGGATGGAGGAGCAGGAAAGACATACCTATGCAAACATTTAAATGCAGGGAGCAGCAATATTTCAGAATGGAAATTCAAAAGACATCAGCTATGCATATAATGGCGAAAGTATTGTATGTTTCAACTATACCAGAGAAGATGAGAAGTTTGTGAATTATGCTATCCTAGAAAACCTGAAAGATGGATATCTATTCTCCGCCAAGTATGACAGCAAGACAAAACATTTCAAAAGTCCAAAGGTGGTATGTATGGCTAACTTTATGCCCGATGAAACTAAAATGTCAGCAGATCGCTATTGGAATTTCCAGTTAATGAAAAAAGAAGACGAATACAAAATGATCATATGTTAAATAAATTTATTGTTAATAATAAAATGAATGTTCAAGCCTTTCATTTTTTATAAATCAATAATGGCAGCTGGACCCTAGATCTTCAGGAAAAAACCGTTAAATACTCCATGGCAGCTGGACCCTAACACAGATCGCCTCCGCCCTCCGGGACTCCGGCTCGTGGTGTGGCCCCTCGTCTGGCAGCTAATTCACAGTATCGTACCCCTCTAAAACTTCAAATCCTTCAGGAGTAGCAGCAGAATAAACATCATCTTTCACAGTATAGATCTGACCATCTCTACGTCCTTTCCATGAAAGTCCTACACTGTAGAAACCCTCAACAAAGGTATTAGGACTACCTATAAGAGTATAAATAATTCCATTCATTGACGAAGCTGGAGAAGCACCATACGTAAAATAGGCAGCATCAATCCAAGGAGAAACAGATTTACCACCAATAGCTACAGATTTAGCAGCAGAAAGCTTAGGCTGGAACTTGGGGTACATCCTGAGCTTATACTTCTTTCCGTACCGAATTAAACGTTCACGAGTATTCGGGCAACAATTCTGGTTGTCGATAGACATAGTCCGACCTTGCGCATCTGGATCGTAAGTGGTAGTCATCGTAGGTTGTTCATAAGTTAAAGAGTTAGAACCATTATTTCTCAACCAATAAGTAAGAGTAACGTGACGAATCTTAACTTCATCAAAAAGATTCAGGTACGAAGATGTCTGGCTCTTGATTGTCCCAGTCAGGAAAGTGTGCCAATTCAAACAGAGGTTCGATGTATAAACTCCCTTAGCTCCCAAATTAAACTCATGGGAAGCCTTATGTTCACTATGAACAATTCCTTTATAAATGTTCTTCATAAAGTTACCTCTTCGTCTGTAAGTCCTCCTGCGAACTGGAGCACGTCTCCTTCTAAAAAAAAGTCCTGTTAAAGAACCTCTTCTTTGCATAAAAACGCCTTCGGTTAAAAACACGTCTTTTACCGTAGAATGCCATCTTTAAAGTCACTTTAAATTGCAACGAAAGTAACTAAGGAAACATGACGTCAAAAATCCAGTAACGTCATGTAGCATAGCAATAAACGTCATAAAATAGTACCTCCTGGCCGTCATCCAGGCTTTACAGGGTAGACTGACCATGTCCTGGTCTGTCGTCTAGAATGGCACGATGGTCATCCTTTGTTATATACCTTATGGAGTGTGGAACACTTTTACAGCTGCTAACATCGTCAATCTTCGGAAATCCTTGGCCTAACCATACCTGTTTCAATCTTGTGAAATTCATTTTCTCCGTAATGCATGGCAGTGTCCATTCGTCCCTGACATCCCCCATTCGTTCCCTGCTACTAATTTACTTCCAAACTTCCATGTCTTCCATCTCTTTTGTATCTCGTACTTAACTGGTCTTTGTAGAGTTATAAAGAAGTTTACACCTCCTTTTTCCACTTTTTCCTTCGTTCCTCCATTCTTATGCTTCTTAGTCTAGATATGTCTGCTCCATTGACTCTTATCCACATCGCAATTACATTTATCACAGTGTTTTTTTTAGCTGTTTTCGCTATTTCGACCTTTTTTCTAGTATTACTATAATACGCGTCGCTATCGAACGTCGAGTTTTTGACGTCATTTTGGTCCCCTTATGACGTTTTTGACGTTTTGACGTCATGTTCCTTAGTTACGTAACTTACAAATTTTAGAGTGACATTAAAGATGGCATTTTACCAGAAAAGACGTAACTTTAATCGCTCTAGATTCTATGCCAAGAAAAGGTCTTTTTATCGCCGTAGGAGGTTGTTTTATCGTAGGAAACGTGCTCCAGTGAGGAGACGAAGGTTCCGGAGAAGGAATACATTAATGAAGAGGATTTATAAAGGTGTTGTGCATTCAGAGCACAAAGCTAATCATGAGTTCAACTTGAGAGCTACTGGAATTTATACCTCTAACCTGTGCTGGAACTGGCATACTTTTGTAACCGGTAGTATCAAGACCCAGATTTCGCCTTATTTGTCTTTGATGAAGTCAAAATTAGGCATGTCACCCTAGTTTACTGGTTGACGTATCAACAGCCTACGATTACATCTACTTATGATCCTGATGCTCAAGGCCGTACTATGACTGTGGACAATCAAAATGCCCGTCCTAATACCAG